ACTTCATGCCGTTATTATTGAGGTCGCTAGGGCCGTTTTTTCCAATCACGCCGTTCCGCTTTTCAGCGTTTACTCCGACGTGCGCATTAAAATCGCTCATTTCTGTGAGGGACTCTGTATTCGGCACTTCGGACAGAGCACATTAGACAGAGCACTTCCTCAAGGAAAGTCTCATATTGTCCCTCAAAATTTGGCACTAGACCTGTTCCAAGGTCATCGATTTAGCCTGTTGTAGCTTTAGTCGGAGGATTACCACCCTTCTGTTGACAGGCTTCCATTCGATTATTCTATCGGCGAGGTTGGGTTCTACCAGAACGCGAACAACACCCTGAGCGCGAGTCGTGATATCGAAGCCTGAGTGGAACAGCTTTCATCCGTTGAGGTTCAGGAGTCCAGAGCCTGGGCGTTTTTTGACGAGAGTACAGCAATGTCGAGTTGGCACTTTATGTCCTTATCAACCAATTCTTGTTCGTTTCTCTGAGTAGTTATATGTTCTAATTTCCGAATTTGGCTCCCACTGGTGGTGTCATTCTCGTGGAGCCTTTTCTGACGTGCTATAACAGCATCGCGCTGTTTGTCTTCTCCGTTCAGAACAGGTAGCGACTCCGTTGCTGACTGATATCTTGGTCGTCGTTCCGTCGGTCTTCGTCAGCCGTCGTTGTGCTGCTACGCCTCCGGCTGGCAGATGGCAATGAGCAGGTTCTGCTGGCCGTCTTTTCGCAGTCTGCCTTCAGTGCCCCAACAGCCTGCATGGCCCTTGGTAACCCGGGCGACGACCGATCCTATGTAATTTTCGATGGCGTCAATACATGAGTGACAGGTGGCTAAGTTTTACGGAGACTTGCCATGGTCTCCAACCCTCCTCCTTTCTCATCCGGGCTTGGGACCGGCAACAGGGGAGTTCACTTGGTATTCTTAACAATGTTCATTGATAGAAAGGAGTTAGACTGAATTTTTTGACTCCCTCAGAACTCCCTAGTTTATGGTAAGATCTGACACCTTTTTTGATCAAGCGTCTGTGAGCGTATTGAATTGTCGAAGTGAAATATTAAGTGATTAATTTATTAACCGTAGATTCTATTCCTTAGCGGTAGCGCAGTATGTACTTGGTACCTTTTGTAGAATTTGCTTTCGGAAGTTTTGACCCGTGTTGCATTCTCCTGTACCTCTCGCAGTCATCATGCGTTTTCGAGAAAGAGGTTGAAAGATGCTGGTGATGCGTATAGTTGCGATCTATAGCTTCTTAACATTACTCGATACTTACTGCCCCCCACTTTCACTCCATATAACTTCAGCTGTTTCAAAAGTAATTAAGAAACAGAAAGATTGTTGTTTATAATGGCGCAACGCAATATTATTGTCTGTTCTTTAGAAACGAATCTGTTGGTTCAGCAATTGGACCAGTTTTTGTGCTGCATTTTCAATATTTATGTCAGTGCGCGAACAAAATATTGCGTCATGTTCCGTCTTTCATAGGCAGTTAAACAGATTGCGACCCAGTGTTCACTGTAAATCGGAAGAGACATGACTGTTTCGTTAGTACAGCGCCAAACCCTTCTTAGCAATGTTTGGTGTCCAAGCATCATAGAATATTTAGTTGCATGTTGACAGTGTCACTTAGATGATTCACGTACTGTGGAATGCCGATTACACAAAAGACAGACTGTTGGCGAGACTGATATTTCGATTTTAATTGGAAGTATTGCTTAATGTTACCGTCATTAAAAATGTAGCTTGTGATCATTCAGCAACTTGTTAGGTGAGCAAAAAGTAACAGCCAATATGAATCTGGGGTGAGAAAGGTAGTCAACGAACATTTTTATCAGTTTGTTTTAAGTGTCATAGTGGTAAGCACCATATTCTCGTTGGAATCAGAAAGATATGACACGAAAACTTCAATTACCTTGCCACATGGGATTTCCGTGGTTTTAATCATTCTTCTTTTTCCTAGCATGTTCCCTTTAACAGGGGTTTGCTAATCGAGTCAGGCTTCTCCACATTTTTCTGTCGTTCGTTATATCTTCAGGGACCCCTCGCAGTTTCGATCGTTTTTGACGACATCGCGCCTGTTTCCTTCGGTCTTCCCATTCTTTTCTTTCCCGGGAGTATCAGTGTTTGGACCACATTTCCAACGTACTCGATGGGTCTTCTTTTCACGTAGCTGAACCAGCGGAGCCTGCTTTCGATAAGCTTATCTGAAATTGGTGCTTCGCCTAGAGTGCTTCTTATGGAGCCGTTTCGGATATAGTCCACTCTGCTGACACCACATATGCATCTGAGGATTAGCATTTCTATTCAGTTCAGCTGTTGCTCATGTTTCTTCAGTGTAGCCGAACCTTTCGCTCCGTACAAAAGCACCGGTCTTAGTATCATTCTGCACACCTTCCCTTTCAGTCTGATGGGCATCTTGTCGCACCGCTTTCCGCTCACTTCTCTCCGTTTGAGACGGATTTTTCAATCTTTTTTCGACCGATTTCTTGCCTCGCTGTCGATTTCCGTGTTATCTTGCAGAATGGAACCAAGAGGTTGAATTCTTTGGGGCAGCAAGTTGCCCGCTGTTTCATCGATTTGACGGATTTCAACATGCTTTTCCCCACTGATATAGCTCGCCATATATTCTCAGTTGCTTTTGCTCAGTCGAAGGCCGTTCTTTTCAAGAGCTGTTCTCCATGCCTCGTTTTTTGATTCTACAGCTTCTCGGCTTTCCTTGCATAGCACAATGTCATCAGTATAGAGCATGCAGCATGGAGCTGCTTCCTGCCGATCCCCAGTTATCGCGTCTGTCGCCATTGAGAACAGAAATCGGCTGAGTGCGGATCCTTGGAGGACTCCTACCCGTACAGTTAACTTTTCCGTATATTGTTTGGACTCTCGTTGTCACTCTGTCGTATATGTCTTTGGTAAGCCTGACATTTTTTGGCACAAGCTTCTTTCTCATGCTCCACCGGGTTGCTTCCATCGGGATTCGGTCAGAGGCTTTCTCCAGATATAGGAACATCATGTGAATATATGGTTTCTCTGTGTTTCGAGGACTGATCTTAAAGCAAAGATAGCATCCGTGGTTGATCTGCCTGGCATAAAGCTAAATTAGTTCGTGGTGATGTCAGCTTCCTTCCTCAGTCTTTTGTCCAGCACCCCCTCGTATATCTTCTTGGTGTGACTAAGCAGTTTAATTCCCCAGTAGTTTTCATAGGCGAGTAAGCCCCCATTTCATTTTGTACATTGGCATCAGAATACTCTGCCTCCATGATTCTGGCATTTTCTCACATTCCATAGTTTTGTTGAATAACGCGCAGAGCCAAACCATGCTTTTTTGCCCCAGTGCTTTCCATGCTTCTGTGGGAACTCTGTCTGGACAGCCTTTTTACTCTTCATTTTGTTCAAGGCTTGTTACTAGAGGATCTTTTCGACTAAGCCATGATTTTGTGGGATCTCTTCCGCGACCTCTATGGGACGTTCTTCGTTTAGTTGCGTTTCGAAGTGTCTTTTGCATCGGTTGTGAATATTCTTATCATCGGTCAACACCACTCTGTTTTCGTTTTTTATGCGCTTCGCTTTACCGACGTCTCTTGTTGTTCTTTCTCTGGCTTTTGCAATGCGGTATTGGTCTCTCTTCCCTTCCTTTATTGCAAGTTTTTCGTATAAGCTTTTCCAGACTTCGCTTCAGCGACGACCATCTTTGCATCCCTCTTTGATATGGCATATTTAATCTGTCTTCCACGCTGTTTGATCGTTGCCATTTCTTCTGTCGTAGAGTCTCCTGAATTTCTGCATTCCACCACCCACCACTTTTTCATCTGGATATGTGTTTGTTTCTCCGACTAGGCCTCAGGTATTCCGTATGATTATGCTGGTCATCCGCTGCCGTACTTCGTCCTTTTTCCTATTCCAGGGAACGATTCTTCCAGCTTCCCTTTGAGCTTCCACCACTGTATCTTCGCGGCTGTCGTCGTGCCCACCGTCTGAATGGGCTGTTTCAGAGAGAGATAGCCAGTAGCCGATGCTGGCTTGTGTCAGTTTCCCCGTGGATAACCTTGCAATCTCTGAAGTTCTTAAGCTTGTCCCTTTGCTGTAGAAAGTAGTCGATCTGATTTTTCTTCTGCTCGCTCTTGTAAGTTATCAGGTGGTTTTTTTTGACAGAACGTGAAAGGTGTTCTCTCCTATATTTAACGTTTATCATGTCCATTTCCGCCATGGAGCCTGTCGTAACCCCTTCGATGTTTCCCGACGTGCCCATTAAGGTCATCCCCATCACTTTTCCGTTTCGCGGTATGTTTTGCAGTGCAATATTTAGACTCTCCCATAATGTGGACTTTTCGGCTTCATTCTGGCCAGTCTGGGGGTCGTAGGCACTTATTATATTTAAGATACCACTTTCTAAAGTCATGGGCGTTAAGCCCATGATTCTGTCGTTAATTCTGTGACTTCGAATACCCTATTTTTCGTCGCTTCATTCAATACCATCCTAACTCCGTTTGTCCTTTTTGATGTTAAATAGTAAATAAGTTTATAGCCTGGCTCAATCTCTTTCGATTTCTCACCTTTCCATTTCATCTCCTGAATACAAGCGATCTGGACTTTTCTTCTTTGAAGAGCTTCCGCTAGCTACATACCCTTCCCCGTCATTGTTTCACTGTTCCAAGTGGTTATTCCGATTTTCTTGCTTCGTGATCGGCATGTCAGTCTCTCCTTATGCGACTGCCGTCATCGCAATAGCTTGTACCCTTGCTCATTTCTCTCAGCCGCCGGGATTTGCTGCTGCGCGTCGCCTACTGGCAGCATCCTAGAATTCTTTCTCTGGTTAAGTTGACTCGTCATATTTTGCTTTGGCCTTGGTTTTTAAGGTCGGCTGCTTGCCTGACGCCAACCTGTTTTTCCAAACCGGGCTGGGAACCGGCTACGATTCGTTAGGGTTAGCAGCATGCTGATTTGATGGCGGAATGTACTCACCATGTCACGGCACTGTCTTCGGGTTATGCGGTATTTTCTAGAGGCAATTTTGCCAAAGAGCGGCTCGCCACATCCTCGTAGCATTGTCGTTACATTGTCTGCGACTGCTTATTCGTTGGGTTCTCCGCTTATTTCGCAGCTCCCCACTTATCTGAGGATTGTCCCACTATACGCAATCTGTGGACGCGTTCTGCGGCATCTGACCTTGCCTCGACACTTCTATCGAGCCGAAGTCTGATTCATTACTGTTTTATAAATGTCACAAGCTGTTCGTACGCAGTGCGAGTACGTGAAGTGGCGAATGAATCGTCTAAGATCAAATTAAATGGCTGATTGCAGCACTCCTTTGCTTCCGACTGCCTGAGGGGGGGGGCGTACAAACAATTTATTTTTGTGCGGTAGCATAAAAGGAATACCTGCTGTTGAGGCATCATTCGTGATGAGCATGAGATGACGCTAGCGGACAAGAGGATGAGAGTTACATCTGACGCTATAGATGGTCAAATTCCGTGAAGCGGCCACTTGTTTAATAGTTTCACCCCTAGGTAGCTATGAGCAAAGGTGAGGTTGAATACGCCGTAAAATTTGGTTCTGTATATGTCAGTCGTTAATCATTCATTTTTTCTCGACGAAAAGTTATCTTTTCACCATTTCCTGTTATAACTTGTATAGTCTTATTGCGATCATTTGTTACTTTTGCCCTTAAAATCCACATCACTTTTACAGATAACAGGCCTCATCATAAAAAGTATTTTATCGTACTTTCTTTGCATTCTATTATGAACGGCTATCCATGCATTCGGTCTAATCTTTCAGTCACGGTGTCGTTCTGCTAAACAATGCTGCATTAAAGGCATAAAAACTGTCAGTTTTAGCTACTACTGATTTAGAATGCCGGCCGTATCACGACACAGGTCTTCACGATGAGGAAAATGCACTTCATCGTATTTCATTCTGTCATACGATCTCTTACTTCGGTCTTTTTTGCGGTCTGTGATAAAAACTCGTTCGGCTCTCTGCGGAGCTGTGAGTTTTCGGTAACATATTAGGAATTCATTTGTCTTAGAATGTCACAGTTATTGCCATGAGCATTTAGAATGTTGCTGTGTTCAACAACCGGTTAAACGACTTGTGCTTCTTTTAATGCCTGAGAATAATTCAAGCGGTTTCCAAAATTAGGCTTATCGGACTGACAAACCGCTGACCTCAAAGTGTATCTCATTGCTTCAGTTTCTAAATATCTGTCGCTGTAATGATTGTTAGTTATCTCATAAGACTTTCTCTTTATTTGCTGTCAAAAACTACAATCATCAAAACCATGTGTTACAAAAAAATGGTTTGTGAAATTCAAACCGAAACGGCAGTAGAGTCGAAAGTATGTAAAACTTGTTCACTGCTGTATTACATAAATATCTTAATTTATTGTTTAGTTTTTGTAATTATTTCATATTTCTTAACTTTGTTCTTTATTCGCTTTAAGGAGTTGTTTATATGGCCGCGTAACTACCATTTAGCTATTTGCTTTGTAACTGTTCGTTTGTAATCAACAGTTGATCAGGTGTTTTAGCGGGGTTGAACTTATAGGATCTTTGATGAACCTTGCGAAAATGCCTGCATCGACTGTCCAGATTCTGGGAGCCGAAAAGGCGCTCTTTCGTGCCTTAAAAGCCAAGCGTGACACACCAAAATATGGACTGATTTACCACGCGCATCTAATCGGTCATACACCGGCGAAATTAAAGGGAAAAGTAAGTAGTTTGTTTCTTCGCTCATGTGAGGAGTGAATGTATTTTAGACTATCTGCTGACCTGTCGAATGATCGTCAAGCTTCTTTTGGTTAGCTGATCTCAGAGTCAGACTTTCAGTACAATCTTTTCCCTCCGAGTTAATTGTAATAATCCAGCAATGACCCTCATTATTCCAGCAAAAAATCAGTTTTCTAAGCAACCTGAACTTTCTATCGCTTTCTAAAGTCTGGCGTTACAATACCGTACAAGAAAAATTTATCGCCGTATTAGTTTTTGCATGCAAATTAGTGACGTTGTATAGTTGCAGACAATTTCACAGAACCAGCTTTCAGGGCTTTATCGACCCATTTTCTCCTAGGCGTTTATGGGTCAGTTTAAGCAGGTTACTGCTTTATTGTATGTCATACCTCTCGTAAAATGTTGCATAGATGTATCAACGATTATTTTACTGACTAGAACAGGACAAGGCCCTTCACCGATGACCTTTTGGAATTTGTCCTGAAACGTCATCAGTGAAGAGCCAGTTGTTGCTCTATTCAGTGAAATTAAGCGAGACAGCTTATGTTGCGTGTACTGCAGGGGTAAATTGCTCTGTGAATTTCAACATGGGAGATTAATGGTCGCGCTGTTTGTTTTACATTTCCAGGTCTTGTGATGTTACTGATCGCCCATTTGGATGACTAGCAGTTTTAAAAGAAAATAAGACAAAATATAACACTGATGGCTTAGGGTTGCCATCGAGAATAGCGGTTTTCTGATTTTGCCGAATTAAATATCACCATTTAATTACTGATACTAGATTTTCACGGTGAATACTGTTAAGTGTCTTACTAAAATTACTTACTTTAAATACATAGAGATGTCACCTGCTTCAGTGGTTTCCCTAGGAGACAAGAATTAAAAGTTACTGTAAACCCTGTGTAATGCCTGCTATCCTTTTTACACTGCCGCAATCGTTTTAATGTAAGTTATTTTTCAGTATTTGCTGTGTAGATTCTGTAGTCAAGGTATTATAGATTTAGATGCTTTTCTAAGTTCTTGTACCCAAATATCGAGATGCTAATAATCATGACCATAGTAATTATTAAGTTTTAAGTTTTGTTTCGGTTTTTTAACTGGATACAACCATCCTGCCGGCGTACTTTGCAGGATTCCATGGTTCATTCTATCACAGCACTGAACATTTGTATATTACCGAAAGACAATGCAAATATCCATGACATTCTGGATGTACTAAAGAAGAGTTAGTTTTCGATACCACGCGGTGGAATAACATAGCTGCCTTCTCTGAATTTACGTGGCACAATCCACTGCTCAATTGTTTATAGGGACCACAGGAGAATTTTTAAGCAGGCAGCGGCTTCACTACTGTAATACCTGCAGCTCTGGTTGCAAGACCACCTCATTCTCCTACTTAATTAAAATACCGACCATTTTCATCTTCCATGACCGCTTTTTCTTTCCGGTCGCGGAAGCAAATACGTCAGACAGTGCTTCCAACGTTCCCGACCCTCTGTCAGAGTGTCAGCTTCGGCACAAGATAGCCGGAGTCTGGAGCAGACTCCTTCTCATATTTGCACCTGGTTAATCTGGGCCTTCTGCCCATCGTTTTGGCAAGAAACAGTTGCTTCACTTTCCTTTCTAGAGACATTCGCAACACATGCC